GGGACGCTACTGCCAGTCATTGCAAATAATACTGAGCTAAATGGACCATTGGTCTTCCTAGAACTCATGTGCATCACAGCCCAATGAGCACCCAGTGGAGACATCAATCTGGGGAAGCATTTGAGTGTCCCAGCCACAAAATGTGAGAAACCATAGCACAAGAATCATGCACTCTTCGTCATTTAATACCTGCTAACATGGAACCTGGACAAGCCAGCCTCTTAGATGCCTCTCAGAAAAGCAGATCTGGAAACAAGCTAGAGCTCAAGTCAAGTTGAAGGATGAAAAAGTTTAAGATATAAAAATAAGTTACTATTCATGGGAAGGAGCTTGTAACAGTGCAAATACACAAATGACACCATTATATATTTAACACGCCCTATTATAAGGGTGTCAAGTTTGATTTGAGAGTGTGACAGATCTGGAAAGCTATCAAGCAGCTCTGGGAATGAATTGCAACAAAAATAGAGGTTTTACCCATCACACTTCAGTTAAAGAGCAGAACTGAAACCCGGGCAAATGGGAGTGGGGAGATCCAAAATTCTTATCAATTTTCAAAGCAACAGGGAAAAGCAGGGATCCTTTCAATTTCTGCAGGCCTGTTTCGTTCTGCTTGCCATTAGAAGACATTGCTAACGGAAAAGTGGGTCTCTTTGTTAATGGTGCAGGTACATGGAAGCCTAAAGCAGTAGCCTAGTGTTTCCTCCTAGCCATGAGTTGTCCATATTGATGAAGTACATGGCACAGAGGGAAGGTCCTTAGCTCAGTGATGGAGCGTCTGCTTTGCATTCAGAAGGTCCCAGGTTTGATGCTTTTGAATTATGGTGCGGGAGGAGACTCTTGAGAGTCCCATGGGCTGCAAGAAGATCAAACCTATCCATTCTTAAGGAAATCAGCCCTGAGTGCTCACTGAAAAGACAGATCCTGAAGCTGAGGCTCCAATACTTTGGCCACCTCATGAGAAGAGAAGACTCCTTGGAAAAGACCCTGACGTTGGGAAAGATGGAGGGCACAAGGAGAAGGGGATGACAGAGGACGAGATGGTTGGACAGTGTTCTCGAAGCTACGAACATGAGTTTGACCAAACTGTGGGAGGCAGTGGAAGACAGGAGTGCCTGGCGTGCTCTGGTCCATGGGGTCACGAAGAGTTGGACACAACTAAACAACAACAGTTAAGGCTGGGAGACCCTAGAGAGCTTCTGCTCGTTTCTGTAGACACTATTTGAAAAAAGGGACCTCTGGTCTTATGTTCCTGTATAGAAGGTTTGGAAGAAGCTCTCCTGGGTCAATTGATTGCCCAAGATTAAGAGGTCTGCAATGGCTGCTTTATGGCTTAGTTCTCCATTAGCCCTGGTGGCTGAAGGTGGTGGCAAATGAACGCCAGCACCAGGGCCTCCTGGTTCAACATGCCCAGCGCAACCCTAGCAAGGCAAATGATGTGGGAAACCTCCACACGGCAACCAGAAAGCAGCAGAAGTTATGTGTGTATGTGCAGGAACCTCTGAAGGTTTATTTGTGCATCTCACCAGGGTACTTTGGAATTCTCAACGCTTTCGACATGAGAGACATTATTCATCTCCAGCCTACACAGCGCATGAAGGAAAGGTCCAGGGAACAACATGGGAGGGACCTTGTTACTCACAGATGAACCCAACCAGATGCTAAGCTATTTCTGCACAGATTAAAAACAGGGACTCATTAAATTTGGCATCTTGAAGCCATCATCCCCCTCTCGGGAACAGGGGAAAATCCCCCACCCCCTTGCAAAAATGAACTGCGGGGTCTCCAGTTCTAGATCCTTCAATTACAAAAACAGTTGCTGCAATGAAAGGCACAGATGGATCTGGCCAAAGGTTAATGAAGTGCAGAATCCCATTTCCCACAATGGCCAATCAAAGGCTTCCAAGAGGCGCAGAAACAGGGCTTGAAGGCAACAGCTCTCTGCTGTTTTTTCAAATCCCCCCATGAACACAATTCACTGGGGTTCCATACCACCATACCAGTAACCAGTGACAGATCTTCACATTCCTGGATTCAGCTACTCTACTCTTCCCCAACTTAATAGCCTGCTGGATGGAGCTACAGCCCAGAGCATACGGAGGGCATGTGTTTGGGTGAAGACTGGAATTTTAAAGCCACCTTATAGAATCACTGTTACATCTTGCAACAGTGAGTTGGTCTGTGTGTTGCATAATAAGACATCATCTCATGTTTCTGAGAACTCATGTTAAGTCCTGCTGTTCTTGATTTACCTGGGCTGAACAACATGCTCCTCAAAACATTCAGATCCCCATTAAATGCCTTGCATATTCCACCCAAGAACACCCCAATTCTCCCCAAAACATTACGTTAGGCAAGAATTGATGGACATGCTCCATTTTGCCAATGTCCTTCTTAAATTCAATGCTATTATTTAAGTTCTTTTGCTTGAAATGCTATCTGATGAAATCCAGGGACTTGGAAAAAGAACTAAGATGGATTTTGTTTGGAGTAGGCAGGGGGGTACTATTACTTATCATTTATTAAATTTCTTGTTAGCGTGCAAGTATTTCCCCCCTGAACGGGCAATTTGTTTTCAGTGGTGAGGTTCGGAGCCCACATTCTGAAGGGAGGTGAGAACGTGATGCATAAATGCCCAGACAGTTTATCATTAGATACTACTGTAATAACTGTAATTAAACTGGACACAGGAGAAGTGAGAGACTTGGCTGATCCATCTTTGGAGTCTAGTTGCTCTCTTTGGGGAAGCTGATACAGGAATACCAGTTGGGCTATCTGCTTATAGGGGGTAGGTTTGCCTCCGATGCTCGCTGCTTGCACATTTCTACATAAAACAATTAACTTTGCAAAAATCACCAGTGGGTAGCCCAGGAACATCTCACTGAACGGGGGACCATGGCTCACTCCGTTTCCATGGTAGCTAACCTAGCTTCGCCATCAAGACCTGCAGGCAACATTGTACAATTCTTACCTCCTATCGCTTCAGCTCTAGTCGTTAGTGTCAAAATATGCCAGAGCTATGACAGCAGCCACGAAAAGTTGGGATAGATTTCAAAAAGTTTAAAGGGCCTTTCTTCCCCCCCTTCTTTTTAACGAAGTAAGTGTATTAAATCCCGCGTTACTGAAAACATCCATAGCACACCATAGAAATCTTCTGCTGAATACACTGTAATGAAGCATTATGTGTGACTAGCTTCACCTCGGAGAGAGATTAACAAAGCACAACTCTACTTGCACAGGAATAATAAACGTGTCAATTGAGAGTTAATATGGATGAAATTGCTAGTATACTGCCTCATCGGGTCAAATCTGAACACACACAACAATGTGTACGTTACCCCCCAAAATGTTTTTATATACATTCGCAAGACCTGTTTCAATCTACTGGCCATTTTCAATGACCTTTAAGTTATAGGCATAGATTGAAATACAGCCAATTAGATCGACCCATCAAACATTCTAGATTTGTGGGCTGGATGGTAATTCATTACATATTAACTCAGAGGCAAACCAATAGTGGAGTTACACACCCACTGGGATACTGCCAAGGACTTCAAAGAAGAATGTAATTCAGAAGGTTTGAAATGCACTAATTGGTCCATCACCAGCTATCACATCCTTACAGTGACATCAAACTTCCTAGAAGACACTGTACCAGCTTCTTCTCACCTCCACAGCAAACTAAGTGGTCCTTCAGAAGCCTTTGAGATGACACTTGATAAAGGGATGAGCTCATGGATAACATCCAATGCACTTGTTCCATAAGATGAAGGATTTCCATTTGCACAACAGAGCTGCTCTCCTTCTCCCCACAGGTGCCCATCCCCACCCAAAATCCATTCTGCTGGGTTGGGGGAGCCCTAAAAATTATTTATGGGCTGCATAGGGAGAAGAGGGGAAGTTCTATTACAAAGCCAAAGTCCTTGAACTAATAGAACAAGATACCACCCACAGTTTACTGTCCTTTCTTGTATGAGCATAGAAAATCCATGCTGGTATCAGAATTGAGTAACAAGCAGGAGAGTGATTGGGGAGGAGGGAGGAAGACATCACCATCAAAAGGTGCCACTCTAGTGGCTTTGGGTGCTATGACATGGTATGGATGGGTCCACCTGTTCAAGAAGCATTGCTCCAGTCATGGCTGGCCTGGATCGCCCATGTGACTAGTCTAGGAACCATTAACCTCACTTTAAACCAGCCTTCCCTAACCAGATGTTTGTTATTTTTTGGTGGAACTGATAGGAGTTGTAATCCAAAAAAACTTCTGGGAAGTATTTTTGCATTTGTCTTCAGCGACATCCTATCCCATGAGTAGGCAAACTAAGGCCCAGGGGCCGGATCGGGCCCAATAGTCTTCTAAATCTGGCCTGCAGACAGTCTGGGAATCAGTGTGTTTTCACATGAGTAGAATGTGTGCGTTTATTTATTTAAAATGCACCTTGTGGGGCATAGGAATTTGTTCATTTTTTATTTATTTTTTCAAAATATAGTCTGGCCCCCCACAAGTTCTGAGGGGCAGTGGACCAGCCCCCTGCTGAAAAAGTTTGCTGACCCCTGTCTATCCTGTTCCATTGGGGCTGCGGTGTCACAGGGAAGGTTGTAACAAATATCAAAGCTTCTTCTGGTCCAGGCCAGGGTGGGATAAGGCAAACCAGGACCCTGGACAGCTCCCAGTGAGCCCTGGGAAGTGAGTTTGTGTAACACTATATCAGCAAAGGCTTAAAGTCCTCTGCAAATGTGGTGGAACTTCCATTGGCTCCATCTGCCAGGGGAGATTGCTGCTATATTTAAAGGACTTCAGACTCAGAAGATGGAAGAGCCACGTTTTCAGGCTACGGCAGCATAGCCCCTCAAGCAGAATGGCTGGTGCATCATCTGAATTAGAGTCCTCCTCAAGCCAACTCTGGAACCCAGAGGCAGAGGAAATAGCACACCATCCTATTCAATACACAACCCCCAAGTATCAGGTCACTAAATTTAAGAACTTAACTTGTCATTACCTTGTGCAGAAACAATACCAAATTTTCTATGGAGGTTTCCCAAAGTCCACCTCTCCCGATCAGCCAAGATTCTCCCGACAATCTATGGAAACAAGATGGGGGGTGGGGACTGAATGAGTAATGTAGAGTCCAATTTGCCCTAAACACATCGTATCGATCATTGAAACCAAACAGAAATTTGGTGCAGTGATTCAGATTCCACGTTGCTATGAACAACCTCGGAAACAGATCACACACTCTCTGCTTCAGCCTATGCACAGATCTAGGAAATGGATGGTAATGATAATGCTGGCCAGTCTTACAGGATGGTTGCAATAATTAACTTTCAATGAGATATAGAAGCATTGCTAAATAAACACTACAAATAAATAGCCTCTAAGGGCCTTTTCCTAGCAGAAGCAATGTGAATGAATCTGTTCTACCTGCCCACGGACTGTCTCGCCAGAGTGGTGCGTGCTCTAGTTATCTCTCACTTGGATTACTGCGAATTACATTTGGCTTCTGAAAAATGTTTGCAAACCGGAACACTTACTTCTGGGTTTGCAGTGTTTGGGTTCCAAGTAGTTTGAGTACCAAGGAGTTTGAGAACCAAGGTACCACCAAAACATGTTGCTAGGAAGACACGATTCCCTTTGTTTCTGGTGTTCAGTTCATGCTCCCTACTGCTTTAACTTAGATTGCATCATTCATGCACAAGAGGCAGAAATCAGCAGGTTTGGGTGAAGTCTATTCATAGACAAGTGCAATATTGTTTTAAGGTGGGAGGGCAGGAGAGGGTAACTATCTGTTTGGGAACACTTGTGGGGAATGAATTGTGGTGAAGCGCTTGTAAATTCCAACTACACACTACAATTTTTTTGCCGTGGTAGGCCTCACTTTCCTTTCTTATATGCCTTTTTGTTCCCTAACGTAGTAGCTCGCCGGAAGAAAATAAATAAAAGGAAAGTGTGTCTCAACTTGGAGCCCTACAAATTAATCAATTAAAGCTTTGGTGGATTGATCTGCCGATTAAACCAATTAAGGTTTGCAGACCTACTAATTATCAGCCTTCCCAGCCTCAAATGCTTTGGACAGGTAATAATTATTTTAAAACATACCAAAAAGGAAAAAGGAGAAACGTCAATGGAAAGAGATTAAGCAAACACTTCCCCCAAAATCCAGCCAGCTTTAAAACAGCAACTATACTCAGCACATCGGGGAAAAATGCTTCACTTTAAAACACAACGAGGTAGGCTTTTTTGGCAAAACTTCGAAAGGCGCTACTGGAAGGATTTTTTAAAAAAATTTGTTTCAACTACGGCAGACCAACATGGCTACCTACCTGTAACTAGAACTTCTGCTGGTAGTTAAGGTAAGAAAGTGAGGGGACAAAGCAGAAATGAGGGTAATTGACTCAGGCTAAGAGGCAGCATGGGACGCGGGTGGAGCTGTGGGTTAAACCACTGAGCCTAGGACTTGCCGATCAGAAGGTCGGCGGTTCGAATCCCCATGACGGGGTGAGCTCCCGTTGTTCGGTCCCTGCTCCTGCCAACCTAGCAGTTTGAAAGCATGTCAAAGTGCAAGTAGATAAATAGGTAACGCTCCGGCGGGAAGGTAAACAGTGTTTCTGTGCGCTGCTCTGGTTCACCAGAAGCGGCTTAGTTATGCTAGCCACATGACCCAGAAGCTGTACGCCGGCTCCCTCGGCCAATAAAGCGAGATGAGCGCCGCAACCCCAGAGTCGGCCATGACTGGACCTAACGGTCAGGGGTCCCTTTACCCTTTAAGAGGCAGCATGGAGAAAAAGGTGTGGCACGGTACAGATCTTCGAGTGGTAGAGCAGTTCTTAAGGGAGAAGGGAAGCTGTGTTGTGTTCTGCTCCTTAATGCATAGAATCAGAGAATTGTTGAGCTGGGACTCCAAAGGTCATCTAGTACAACCCCCTTCAACGCAGGAATCACGGGACTTCCAAGAGGCACCTGGTTCTCTGCTGTGACAACACAACACTGGACTAGATGGGTCATGGTCCTGATCCAACTGGGTTCTTCTGATGTCCTTCTGAGGTGGTAGAATTCAACGTACCATTTCAGACTGCTGGGGAGCAAGGGGAGAAGGCCACTGCAATAGGAAACCAGCACAGCAAGGAGAAGGATGGGCTGGACTCTTGACGCTCTACTTTTCTACTTGCAGGGATTAAAAAATAAAATTTGGGGGTATTCATAAAAAAATCACTCCCCCATAGAACTCATTCGACCACCCTCAGAACTATCTGCTTGTGTGTTGCATTTACCGTGATTTTTTGCTGTATAACACGCACCTGACCATAACACGCACATCGTTTTTAGAGGAGGAAAACAAGGGAAAAACATTCTGAATGAAACAGTGGATGTATCATTTTTGTGCTTTATGCTGTGGCCACAGACATGTGATCTGATGGTGAATTTGGGGTGACCCAATGCAAAGATCCTGAGAATCCCTGTGGATCCATGCTTTGTAACCACATTTTTGCACCATTGCAGCCCCAGGCAACAGTGGGTGCGTGCTTTTTTTGGTGCAGGCTGTAGCCATGGACATGCTATGTGATCTGATGGTGAATTTGGGGGTGACCCAATGCAAAGATCCTGAGGATCCATGTTTGATCTATGCTTTGTAACCACATTTTAAGTGGGGAGCGAAGGAAAAACCAAGAAGGGACATGAGAGGGGTGTGCAGAGAAGCAGCTGGCTAAGAATGCTGGAGAGGGATTTGGGGTGGGAGGAAAGAAAGGCAAAAGTTCCCCCCCAAGCCAGCCATCTCTCTCTCTCTCTCTCTCTCTCTCTCTCTCCCTCCCTCCCTCCCTCCCTCCCTCCCCCCCCCCTCTCTCCCTCTCCCTCCCCCCCTCTCCCTCTCCCTCCCCCACTCTCTCTCCCTCTCCCCCAGCAGTACCGGAGCACAGAGACGACACTTTCCCCTCTGCTTGCCTGGAGGGGAGGGGCTTTCCCTGCTCTTTGTTCCGTTTCAGCAATCACAGCAACGAAACAGAGGAGGGTGGGCAGTAAGACCCTGAGGCAGAATGCAGGAAAGCTACCGCTTCCTCTTTTCAGGTTTCCCTTCTCCGTGACTCGCGGTTTGACTTTTGCTTGATTTTTTGGCTCCAGGGACCACACATTCACTCTATAACACGCACAGACATTTCCCCTTCCTTTTTAGGAGAAAAAATCTGCGTGTTATAGAGCGAAAAATACGGTATATCCCATGCCCCCCCCCCCCCGCGCCAGAGGAATTTATGGTTATCTCCCTTCTCATCTACACTTCTAGGCAGGTTAGGCTGAGAGGCAGTGATTGGCTCGTGTTCATATCCTGCTTGGATGTAAAAATAAACCTCGAAGTGGATTTTGGGAAGGCCAGCACATCCTTTGAGAGCCAGTGTGGTGTAGTGGTTAAGAGTGGTAGTCTCGTAATCTGGGGAACCAGGTTCGCGTCTCCGCTTCTCCACATGCAGCTGCTGGGTGACCTTGGGCCAGTCACACTTCTGTGAAGTCTCTCAGCCCCACTCACCTCACAGAGTGTTTGTTGTGGGGAGGAAGGGAAAGGAGAATGTTAGCCGCTTTGAGACTCCTTAAAGGGAGTGAAAGGCGGGATATCAAATCAAAACTCTTCTTCTTCTTCTTCTTCTTCTTCTTCTTCTTCTTCTTCTTCGAGTGGCATAGTTCCCTCAGAAGGATCAAAGGAGCAAGGAATCTGGCAGGGACTACTGGGCCACTCTGCTGATGGCTTACTATTTTCCCGCAAAACACCTACCGCACCACTTTCTACTAAGAGGCCGCCTGCTGTCTTTCACCACACTGATCCTGCCACTAATGCAGTCAAGAGGCACCCCTGGGTGCCTCTGTCAAGCATTTAAAGGCAAAGATCGGCAGACCTCTCCCGGCAATACGAAAACATGGTGTGATCCTCTTAGTGGCCTAATTGCCACTTGTCCAATGCTCCCCTGGCCTCGGACTGTCATTTTGCAGATTTAATATGCATCGAGGCTCCAACGACCCCTCTTAAACTCTCATGTCAGCATGCAAATGGAGTTTAATATAATTAGCCAGGACAGGAAGGCAGGGTCAACTGTGTGTTTTTATCTGTCATGGCAGACTCTTAATGCAACGTTCCAAGCCATCTAAGGTACATCCCCCACCATCCCTGCCCAAAGAACCTTTCAGTTTGAAAATAGGTCGCTCTTGAATTTAAAGGCATAGAGACCGAAGGAAGAAATGCCCTTGTAAAACTGGTGAGAGAGGACAAGTGGAAGGGACCAAGCATTTAATATTTGCTTGGGCAAGAGATTGTCAACAGCTAAATAGGGGGAGTGGCTGAATAAGGGTGTAAAGGTTCATAGTCAAAGAATTCTAGAGTTGGAATGAATCCTCTAGTCCAAACCCTTCCAATGCAGGTATCTCAACACCCGGTCCCCCATCCAATATGAAACCATCTCGGACCCTGCTTAGCTTTGCAAATGTGCTAGCAGTTTTATTTCTGCACCACCAGGAGGACTCTAGCAGAAGCATTTTTTACAAGGTGTGGAGAAAGTGGATTTAGAAAGGGGTTTTTTCCCCCCTCCCTCTCTGGTAACACTAGAACAGGTGGACATCCCATGAAGCAGAACAGACAAAAGGAAGTGCTTCTTCACACATCTCATAGTCAAACTACGGAATTTGCTCCAACAAGAGGCATGGATGGCCGCCAACTTGGATGGCTTTGAAAGAGGACGAAGCAAACTCATGCATGAGGGAGCTTTAGATGACTACCAAACCCGATGGCTATGCCGTACCTGCTCTCCCCAAAAGATTCCATCAACGGGGTCTCTGAAAAATCTTACCCATCACTTGGGAAGACAGGTGAACTAATACCAGTGTACTGGAAGAAGCAAAGATCACCAGTGTCGAAGCAATGATTCTTCAACATCAACTTCGTTGGACTGGTCATGTTGTGCGGATGCCTGGTGATCGTCTTCCGAAGCAACTACTCTATTCCGAATTTAAAAATGGAAAGCGTAATGCTGGTGGTCAACAAAAGAGGTTTAAAGACTGTCTCAAGGCAAATCTTTAAAAATGTAGTATAAACACCAACAATTGG